AGGGCACCGGCTGGGCTGGGCTTGGCGGCTCCCGCTGCGAGCCCCCTTCCCACCCCCTCGGGGAAGATGCAGAAAGGCTGGAAGAAGTACTTTGGCCAGAAGTCCCTCAGCGAGGTCACCATGGACGAGTACCTCGCCACCCTGGGGCTGTGCCGCAAGCTCACGGCCAAAGATGCCTCTTGTCTCTTTCGGGCTGTTTCAGAGCAGGTAAAAAAATAAAATAAAAACCCATCAATAAAGGTGTGAAGTCCCGGAGGCGTCCCAGACTTGTGCGGTTCCGGAGCCTGGCTTCAGTGGGGGCTTCCCCGGTGCCCGTCAGCTGCAGCCCCCAGGCTGAGGGGAGCTCCCGCCCCGGCTCCTGCTCCGCGAGCCCTTCTCCGCTGCGGGGAGAGCGGCTCTGAAGTCGTCCTTCCCCTCTGCTGGGAGAGGCTGGAGCAGCGGTGTTGCAGCTCCACCAGGCACCAAAGGCCCCGAGCTGGAGCGTTTATCCTAACCTGCTGGGGGTGTGGGTCCCCCCCCTTCCCTTTTTAAATAAAAACAGCTCCTAGGGAGGGGCAGAAAAAAATCTGTATTGTGGCTTAAATGAAACTTGGTGTCAAGAAGTGTGGCTGTCTTTCATTGCAAGTCTACTAGCTTGCCTTTCTAGTTCTCTTGGACTCATAAGGTTTAAAATGATAATTCCTGGTATCCTTCCAAGCTAAGACCTCTAGCCTAAACCATGCCAAACTTTTTGCTGCAAGGAATACAAGGGAAGCTAGACCCAAACCACTGCTTATTTTGCAAAAGCACAGCTCCCTTGCATGGGTGGGATGCAGCAGGGCTAACCCCAGACTCTGGGCCTGTTGCTGCTGTCCATTATTTTGGTGAATTCCATCCCAGCTCTGTGTTTAATTTTCAGGCTCAAAGCCTGAGTAGTAGGAACAGGGCAAAAGTCTTGGGTTTTGTTCTGTCCATTTATACAGACTTGTGGTAGGTGTTGTTTTAGGAACTGAACTATATGTAGTTCAGATCCAGTTTTCCCTATATCAGATCTGCCAAAACGCGGCTTAAAATGTTCTGGTTTGGAACAGTGTTTTGCCAGAAACTACCTAGGGACCCAAAACAATCACCGAACTTCCAGCAGGAAGCTTCAGAAGGTAGATATTTCATTTTAAAATTAAGTTTTACATAATGTTAGTCCAACCATTTAACCGGGCTGCTAATAACCATCTAACATCACTACTGTCATGTTTATGACAGGGCTAGTGTTTGTAACATGCTTATAATAAAGATAGTGATGTTAAGCACAGGATGGATTTGGTTTATATCACTAGTTAGGAAGCCTTGATTTAATTGTTGGCTTCTACAGAAAGTGCATTCTTGTTGTTTGATACCTTAATACATACTGTTCACAACTCGGAGATAGCTGTAGGTTTCATTTTTAGAAGGTACATCCTATACAGTTTAAAGCAGTGATTTATTTTGATTATTTTTCAGATTAATTTTGCAGAGATATCAGAAAACAATTGTTTTAACTAAAGCAACATGCTTATGTATTTTGGATATTTCTTCAACCACAAACATGTACAATTATCTTAACAAAACAAGCATATGCGTTTTTGAATTTTTAACTATTTAAGTTATGTGAAATGTGTTTTTTAACACAAACTAAATAGATTATTTCAGCCAGGTCAGTATGACAAATTTAAAATACCGGGTTATGCAGCAAACTGTCTTTACCTTCCTCTTCCTGTTTATCCATAAACTAGAAAAGATAGACAAACTTTCCTGATTTCTTTTTTTTTTTAGTTCCCAGCCAGTTTCTGAATTTGGAATGAATTGGTCCAAAGGAAGAAAATATTCTTTCTACGCCTGCAGAAGAAGCTACTGCTATTAAAAGCTGAATTATCGCTTCAGTAGTCTCTGATGGGTCCAGAGTGACTTAAGTGACTTACTCCAGTTCACTGGTGTGACTTTCTTTAAAACCTCATCAGCAAACGTATTTCTTGAATGGTTCACCCTTAGCCCTGACATTTTATAGTAGTTGGTATTATGGAGGGATGACTGCTGGATGCCTGTGTCACAGCCAACTCCTCCTCTTCAGCAGTTTAGGATTGACCCTGGTACGGAGTATTGAGAAGATTGCCAACAAAATGAGCTATTCATTTTCTTAATACCTGTAATTGAACTCTCTCATTGCATATTTCACTTTTTCAGGGTCTCACTTGGTTCCTTCCAAGTTTCAAAAGCATCAGCAAGAAAACAAGATTTCCTGGAAATAGGCTTCAGGATAGTCAGCATACATTCTCCATTTCTCTTTAGCCCAATGTTGAGAACTTTGGCTATGCCAGTTCCATCTATTTTGTCACAATCTTGTTCACAAATTGGTGTCAGATTAGGCCAGTTAGTTTGGTTCCTCCTTCTTTCTTCAAAGTAGCTGCTGCAAAGTGGTTGTTATGGAAGTGTTTTGCAATTTCAGCATTAGCCTTTCTTTCTGGAGCGCTGAAGTCTGGCTAAAAGGTGCATCAAATGAGCACTGCAGCCATGTTATTAGTTTGGGACTTTCTTCTAGATTTCTTCTCATCTTTGACTCCAGCATTGTCTGTGACAAAGCTGCATACTAGATGTTTGAACTCTTTTTTTTCAGTTTGTTATAGCTTTTACTACTACTTCTTGTAAGTATTGTGCCGTGTATGCATTTCCGATGTATCAATTATTTCTGTAAAGTATACGTATACAGTCCCTTCTTCTGTTATCACACAGGCACATATTACTGGATCATTGTGAACATAACCCAAGTCTTGATGGGTGGAGTAAACAATTCCCCCCCCCCTAGACTTTTTGCACATTGCTCCATTTTTCTTATACACTTTATCCAGCAATATTGTCTCAAAGTATATCATTAAAAGTTATCATCATGGAATAGGAATTATATCTTCGAGCTTTAACATATCTTAAATTAAAACTATCTTTACGTAGGTTTATTTGTTAAAAGCATCTTAACAAACTAAAAAAAATGATTACATAAAAAAATCTGTTTATTATTTTTTTTATCCACCCTGGTAAAGCACTTTGTAACCTCTAAATCAAAGAAAGTTTGATGTAGCGTGACTCAAAACTAGCCGGAGACCTTTACTTCCAAGCCTTCCTGATGCCTTTCTTTTTTTCCTAGTTGTTTTCTTGTCAGATTCATCATATGGAAGTCAGAAAGGCTTGTGTGGTGTTTATGAGGCAACACCAACTCAACTTTGAGTCTGTAAGTAGATATGTATGCTTTAGAAGTAATGGGGGAGGGTTATCTTTGAATGTACATACGCAGATATGTGCACTGAAAACTTAAACCGTGCTGCACTTTTAAGTTGGAAATCAAAAAAAATCTTAAATGTGAAGAAAGATTTAAAAAAAAAAAAAAAGAATCAGCTATTAGTTTTTAGTCAACTTTGTTTCTAAGGTTCTTGTATCAAGTCTGGGTAGTGTGTAATATTTGTAATTAGCATTTCTTCTAAAAGCTGAGCTCCTGTTTTAATGAGCAATAATTACATTGCAGCACAGATGTCTTTGAAACTGTGCATGCTTGTGTGTGAAACTTACATTTTGAAGTCGAAATAAAAGCACAGGGCACCTAAACCATGGTACAACATGTACTTTCATGTCATTGTACACTTGCATTGGATGATTTTAACCAAGTAGAGAGGCCTACCATCACCCATCAGAAACATTTATATTTGGGTAAAGTGATACAGGCCTGTGGCTAATGGCCAGGCCATGCTGTGGTGTTTTCATATACAGAATAACCTTTTGTTATTACTGATTGTACTAAGAAATTTACTTCCTCCTGTAATAGTGGTGCATGAGGGGCCTGATTGTAAGAATCTGGTAGGCTTCTTATGTAGACAGGCTGACAGGTTTGGTAAATGTTTTTTAAATGGCTTTGGGTGAGAGAAGCTTTTTGGATATTCTACTGACTCTTAGGCATTTATGAATTAGATTTCCCTTAATGGCCTAGGAAAGAAATCTATACATTGATGTTAATGGTAATTTATTTTCTTGTCATCATTATCTTGTAATATTTTGAGCTTTTTACCTCCAAAGGATTTTTTTTTAAATGTTTTTTTTTTTTGTACTGAATACTCGAAGCTGCCACTGGGGCAAAGGGGGATCTCACTGTGCTGTGTGGTGAAGGACACTGGTACGCTTCCCTGTTTTTATGGAGCTTTAGGCCCCATATGGAGTAGCCAGGGCCTAGGTCTCTTCAAAAAGAGAGACCAAGTAAATGGCAAAGTAGCCAGTCCATTTGGACGAGCACTTGAGGATTTGTCCTTGGCTGTGGTTTTTAGCATGTCTTCAGCTTGATATCCTTAAACTGTTCCTTTCAGCAAGAGTACTAGATATCAAACTTGGTTAGCAACTAAAATTGTTGTTCTGTAGTTTTAAAAACAGATATACTTAAAGACACGGAAAATATAAACGAATGGTGCCAATTGTTGAAGTCACTACTTGGATCTGAAACTAGTAGACCCAGATGTTACTATTTAGTAGCAAGTTTGTTTGTGTTTTTATTTTCTTATATGCAATTCCTGGACCTTCTAGGCCTCATATTTTGGATTTGATGTTGCCATGCTTTTCTTTAAATAAATTAAGGAAATGCTGCCCTGGTTCTGACAGTGTGATTTGTCCTTGACCATACACCTGGAAAAACTGGACTTAACTTGTTGAAGTTCTAGATGGTTGGGCTGCAGAGTTCTAAATACTGGGATGCCAAGCCAAGTGAGCACCCATCCTTTTGTTTAATGACTTTAAAATAATAAAATCTCGTATCTTAAACCGTATGTGTTGGTTTTGCTTTTATGTTTTACTTTAAAAAACAAACAAACAAACCTCCCCAACTTCAAGGTTTTCTAGTTCTGTGAAGGTTGAGAGGGGGGGCTGAGCAAAGTAGCTGCAACCTTCCTCTAAGGTCTTTCAGCAGGAAATAGAAATCATAACCTTTACTGTTTAGCCATCAGCCATTATATGAATCTAATTCAATCATTTTGTTTTTTCTGTTAAGTATGTGGAAGGGTCATTTGAAAAATACCTGGAACGGCTGGGAGATCCAAAGGTAAGGCCAGGTTCATACTTGCATCAGCATGATTCCAGTGCTGATGCTAGGTCTTAATACCTCCAGATGTTTGTTGGGGTGTGGTATTGAATGTTATGTTTTCTCCTGCTAATGTGGGCCTCAGTCAGTTTTGCAGTTCTGTTCATGCAGGTAGGCCTTCGCTCCTAGATAAGCTTGTTGATTTACAGTAGGATGCTGGGGCTGCATCCAGACAAGTGTGGACACTTATTTCCCCAGGGACAAGTAGCAGTGGCACACCGTGTGCTGCTGCTATTTGTCTCTGGGGAATGTCTGTGCCACACATCCTCTGGCACATGGCAGGTACTGTGGGTGGGATAGGGGATGCTGAGGCCAGCAATTGTGCTAGCCCCAGCAGCATTATCTAGGATTCTGGGGGCCTCCCAGGGCTGTAGCCACAGCAGGAGGCCTGGCCAGCAGCCAGGGCATGGCTCCAGTTTTGGGTGGCCCACACTGCTGCCACATGTACTGCCCCACTCTTTTTTTGGTGTGTGTTTTTTGTTTTGTTTTTTTTTTTTTTACCCTGGCATCTCCCAGGGTCAACCCCACCCCCTGCCCTGCAAGGTAGCAGCACAGAGAATCCCTGCATGTGCAGTGTAGGGCTGCAGCTGGGTCTGCAGCACCACATACTGCACATCTGCACTCACCTGAATGCAGCCTGCAAGTGTAAAGATTCACACCCCCTTGCAAAATGGACCAGGTTTCAGGGTTGGGGCCTCAGTTCTTTTGTTTTTGAGGTGAGGAGGAGGAACAGACTTCTGGACAGAGCAACCCAAACTTTTAAAAGGCTGCTACCATGCTGGGTGCAAAATTCACAGGAAATTTCTTGTCAAACTTCATACTTCCTTCACATTTGAATACTTGAGTTTGAGCTCAGATTCTTCCTTATTATTGAAAAGTACTGTTGTCTTAAACATTGGCAGCTAATGTGATTACAGTACAAGAATATATTCAAACAGACATAAAGAAATCCAGCTAATTTTTAAGCTTTTACTTCTAGAGCTAAGTACTACTTCAATCAGGATTATTAGGCCAGAAAATGAATAGTAAAAAAGTAGTTGTCCCTATTCACTGTTCTCTTCAGGAATCTTGCTATTAAAACTTCCAGATGAAACAAGAACTAGAATTTTGGAAAAAGTGGAATTAAGCAGTGGGCTATAGCTGAAGATTGTATTATCATTTAGTACTTGCAAGTAGGTTGGTGAACTTGCAGCTTTGTGACTTTGTTCCCTTGGGAGTTCCTCAGTCTGTCCTTTAAAATACAAAATGTAGTTCTTGCACCTAGTAGATAAACTAATAAACAAAAGCCTTTAGCTATTCTCTGAGCAGCAATACGCAAGATGCTGCAACGTTCTAATTAAAGCGCTCCAGCAGACTTGATCTTGTGCTAGACTCTGTCTTCAGCATACAGGATTAATCTTGTCGGCTCCAACGTGTTCTAATTGGAACATGTTGGAGAATGTGTATAGGCACCCTGAATGCTCACAGCTGGACTTCTGTACCAGGGCTGCCTGCCCCTCTTAAAGGGCCAGGCTACCCTGTTACAGTGCTGTTTTTTCCTCCTCTGTTAGGTTGGCATTGAATAAAACCACCAAAAATAGTCTTAAGGGGTCTCTATGAGGACCGATCACTTGTTATAACCAACTTTGAGAAGAGAGGTCTAGTCTTCCTTATTATCTATGAAACAGATGTTCAAGGGGGAATGTATTGGGGTGCCTTCCCTTATGGAGCTTCGTTTGAGCTTTTTTATGGCTCTGAGGATAAATACCCAATATCTAGAGCTGGGTAGCAAACACTGAATTTCTTTTCATAAAATTTGCTGACAAGCCCTCCTAATACTATAGCGAGGGCCAGAGTAGGGTTTCAAGTACTAGCAAAGAGTTAGCTGCACTTGATATCTACAGCAGTAATTGTCTTTCCAACCTAAACTTAAAATATTTTTATGCACTTAGGAAAGTGCTGGCCAACTGGAAATCAGTGCACTATCGCTGATGTATAAGTAAGTGTCTTCCTTCTTTCATTTAAACCTTACTTTTGTGGTAGAGCTTGAAAGGCTGAGGGTTCTCTCCATGTGAGCCAGAACCTTTTGATTCATGACCTGGAAGGCCACAAGAGACCCACTCATGATCTAGTTTTGAGACCAGCTTATATAATTAAGCACTGCTGTTCTCTGATTTGCTGTGTATGAAATAGCGATCACGGTCCAGTTCCTGGTAAAGGGGCACCTGTTTAATGAGATGTTGAAATTGATGTTCTGCTTAAGACTTACAAGGGAGGACTGTCTCGGAAGCCACAGAGACTGACCCAGACCTTGTTACTGGAGGTTTTATTGCTGCTATCCATGCTGGGTTGGTTGTTAGCAGGCTTCTAGTGAAATCTGTTTTGATATCTTTTAAAAGTATTAAACTTGTGAAATGTTTGCATTGAGGTTATTTCATAGGAAATTTATGAAATGGTCTGGAATTGTGTATGGGGGAGCTATTTTAACACTAGCCTTAAACATAACTAAAAGCTGATGACTACCAACATTAAAATTTGTGCTTAGTATTCTAGCTGTCTTTGCAAGTTTACCTAATAAGAGGGGCTTACTGTGCTTACCAGCATATAAGCCCTGATGTCCATTCCAAGCATAAATGCAGCTGACACTTTAGACTGCTTGTATGCATCATGGGGGTCTCATTCTGTTTAGTCCTCCCTAAATTGAACCGGTGGATTTTTAAAAACACCACTTCAATTTAAGGAGAATTGAATTGAACTAAACCCCTGTGGCATGTATGCAAGCGTGGGGCCCCAATCCTCACCAGTCTCTTTGGTGGCAGGGTGGGGGGTGAGCTGCCGGCAGGCCTGGTGGTCCCTGAGCTGTGTGTGGGTCCCCCAGGTGTCACCTGCCCAGTGGCACCCAGCCTGAGTGGTCCTGGGAGGCACTGCAGCTGCTAAGGGAAGCACCGGGCCCCTGCACAGCTCAAGCAGGCAGGCTCTGGGGAGGAGAAAAAAAAAGATCAGGCTAGCCACTATTCTCCCCACCCCCCAGTGGAGCCTGCCTGTGTGGGCTACTGCTGGGTCCCACAGCCCCTGAGCTGCGCTGGGCCTGCCCAGCCCTGAGCATGTTGACTTCCAGAGCCCCATGCACTGTTTAACTTTGTTAGGTAGCACACTAAAACACCTTGGAGATGTTTTATCTTGCTATGTACCAAAGTCCATTTAAAACATAATATGCCACCGAGTATGCAAACAGCAGTGTCATTAAAGCAGTGCAAAAGGGCATTTAAATTGCTTTAAAGGCCAATTTTGTGGCATCTCCAAAGGCCCTTAATCTGCTGCAGGCAGTATCTTGCTACCAACACTGCTACTTTTAGCTAAGCAGTATAGGATCCCAGTAACAGACTAATTAGACATCCTGTATCAAAACTGATAAACACTTAGATTTTTACAAAGTGCTAATTGTATCCTACGCTAATTTTTTTTTAACCCTCTCGTAGCTAATTTTCCCTGTTCAAGCTGTTGTGGGCAGAAAAACTTGATCTTAGAGAATCACAGTAAGGTGCATTGCTTATGGTGTGAAAGCAGATACCATCACTTCGTGAATATTTCTTATTTCAGGTTGAGGAGTCTAAATCATGCATTTAGTTGGTTGTTGCTTAAATTATGCTTGTATTCATTTGTAAATGAGAAATGTTTTAGCTTAGTTTCTCTATGTATAAATCAAAAAATGGATTTTCCAAACTGTTCCAGTCACACAGCTTTGCAGCCAGCTGAACATTCCATTAAATGCTTGTTCTTTCAAGTCTCTTGTTTTTCCTCTGCTTACCCAGTCACGACTTTATTTTGTACCGGTACCCTGGAAAGCCACCCACCTATGCTACAGACAATGGCTTTAAAGATAAGGTGAGGAGATGTGAGCAAATTTTCTCTCTCACTTCTAGATAACCCTAATTTTGCTGAGTGGTATCAAACCTATCCCTTTTTTAATTTTGAACTTTTAACTACAGTGAAGGTTCTGGGTCTGCAGAGTTTCACACAACTAAACCAAAAAATCCAATAGTTAACTTCAATGAGGCTGATGCTTTGCCAATGAGTGTTTTCACAGTTGAAAACACTCATTGCACAGCAGCTCACCTTTTTATAGACTCTTAAGTTCCTGATGGCTGCAGGAGTTGAAATGTTACAGCCTAGGAATCTCCCCATTTCATCAGCTCTTGCTTTCCTGGGATTTCGCTGTCTAAGTACAGCTCCACATGACTATTTTCTTGATTGCAATGTAGCTGGGAACTGCTGTTAAGTTAGCCTGTTTTGTAAGTGTGCTATGCTAAAAACTATACCAAGACGCTTTTGGGAAGCTTTCACTCCAAAGATTTAACTTATCAAAGTTGGCAGCAGTATATTACTGGAGTCTGTGTGCAGCTGGCTACTTCTTATGTTTTTATTTTATTTCATTTTGCTGCACATTTTAACTACTGGAGGCTGGGCCAACAGGAGACATGGTGCACCATGCAGGGGAGTCCAGATCCTACAGCTGCTGACACTTGGGATGCATTGATAGCTGATATTTAGGGAGGCATATCGGCTGATACTGATCCAATGCAGATGCCTCCAGGTAGTAAGTCTGCAGTGGTGGAAGGGCAGGAGGGGCACAGATCAACACCCCTCACAGTGAGGGAGGGAAAGGGCAGGG